ATCGGGAGAGCGAGGGAGGAAACTGGTGTTCAGGCAGCCTGTCGTATCCCCGTGCACCCAGAGGCTAATGAAATGGGCATGACATGCAAAGCCCACTTGCTCCGTGGGGATGGGCACAAGTGCAGCCAGTCCTGAGGCCGCCTCTTTTTTGGCAACAGGTTCATGTTGTAGTGAGGCGGTGCTGTGAGTGGTCCCAGTGGAAGGAAGCAGAATTAAGGGTTGTTGGAGACTCTCAGAAAATGAGGGTGGAAGGGAGCTCGGGGGGTCACATCTAGTCCAACCCTCTGCTCAAAGCAGGACCAGCCCCAGCTACATCATCCCAGCCAAGGCTTTGTCCATCCAGGTCTTACAAACCTCCAAGGATGGAGATGCCACCACCTCTCTGGGTAGCCTGTGCCAGTGCTTCACCACCCTCCTAGTGAGAGAGTTTTTCCTAAGATCTAACCTCAACTTCCCTTGCTGCAAGAGAGAGGGGCACACCTTGGAGAGTCAAAGGAGGTGGGTGGGGGCCGGCAGGCTCGATGTGTTTTTGTCGGTCACGAAGTGCGTGTGCGCTGGGTTTTGGATGGCAGTCCATGCTGAGGCTGGTTGGGGGTTTCTGGGAAGAGCAAGTTGGGTGCTGCATGCCATGCCGTGGGGGCGGGCAGCCGGTCTCCCTGTCTTTTGGGCTCGTGGCTCCAAGGGCACTGTGTCTGCCTAGAGCGTGGGGCGGGCGAGGATTTCTGCATCCATTGGTGGGCTTGCTTGAGGAAAGCCTGCTGCTGTTTTGGGGTGAGCACAGGGCAAGGTGGCACCTGAGAGACCAATTGGCTCAGAGAGGAGCAACAACCCGCTTTGTCAGGTGCTGCCTGGGGGCAGATCAACAGGTGATTACCTCGAGTCCAAACCGCAGGCTGCTGGAGCCTCTGCGGGCCCGACTGTTGACTTGAGTGTTTCCATCTGGTTCCCAGAGGAGAGTTTGTGCTTTTGCAGACAGAGGTTGCTCCAAATTGATTAGGAAAAGGATGGCGCCCCGAGTCTCTTTGGCTCTGGGAGACGTGCATCGGTGGTGCACTGGTAGCTCTTGCATTTTTGACTCCAGATCCCCAGGGGTATTGGCAGGGGTAAATCAGGAAGTCTACCCACCTAGCTGGGATGGGGGCCTCCCTGAGAGTCAGGGAGGTGGAAGAAATGCAGAAGGGACTGGGCGAGGCTTGGCCCGCAGCTGGCTTTGGAGGACAGGCTTGTTGGAAGAAGACTTCCCCACTTCTGAGCGAGCAGTGTCAGTTCTCAGCCTCGGGGCTTGAGCGACTGAAACCCATAGGGCGTTCACCCCGCGTCCTGGGCCCCTGCGCGGCTACTGGCCCTTCGCCCAGCCTGGAGAACGATGCGGGGCCAGACCCTTTGGTCCGCCAAGAGGCCAAGCTGCTTGTGGCCTCCGTGGTGAGCCTTCCCGGCCTGTGGTCCTCCAGGCTCAGGGTTTTAAGGAAATCCCCCCCAGAAGAGCTAACGGGGCTGCGTGGCAGGCACTGACAAAGAGCAGTTTGCTGCGTGATAAGCATGTCGGACTCCGGGGAGGAGGTGAGCAGCAGCATACCAATTACCCTGCCGCTGCCACTCCTGGCTGGGCTTCAGCAGCCGACGTGGGGGGGAGGAAAGGGAGGGCTCCAGCCCTGCGGCTCCCTTCCTCTTTCCCGCAAGGGGAGTCCGTGAGCAGCAGAAACCAGTTGAAAGCATTTCCCTCCCAGTCACCTTCCTGAAGGACTGCAGCGTGCCGGGAGCCGTCTGCTGAGCCCTCCTTTGGTTTCCTTGAATAGAGCAGCCGGGGGCTCGGCAGTGGGGGGCAGGAGTGAGGGGTCCCCCCGTTACAGCAAGGAGGGTTTGATCCTGGGCCCTGGGGCTGTCCTCCCCGTCTCAAACAGCCGGAAGCAAATCAGCCAGGTTAATCTTCCACTGGCACCCTGGAAGCGCGAGCAGCTTCAGCTCTCCCCTCCTGCCTGCCCCTTAATTAACAGAAGGTAACTGGGGAGGGGAGTGGCTGCATCAATCAACAGTACTCTCGCGCGTACACACACGCACACGCTTGCGCCTTGTCACGTGCACACACACACACACACACACACACACGCTTGCGCCTTGTCACGTGCAGGGCTGGCACTTGCGGTGTTGCTTAAAAGGGATCTGCCGCCGGTTTCTCCTTTTCGGTTGGAAACTGGGTCATGATGCCGCTCCCCACCGCGTTTCTAGGCATGGGCTCGCCCTCCCTCTCGCCTCCCCTAGAAAGTTGCCCGTGGAGCTCGGAGCCAGCGCCTGATGCTTCTGCGCTGGCTGGATGCGGGCCTGGAGAGCTGGGCGCGCTGCCGCCCGTCGGCTCGGCTGTTCTGCATGCCACGGTCGTGTTCTCCGCGGCGCAGCCAGCAATCACCTTCACGCGCTATTGCCGGCTGTCGCGGTCTTTTAAAAACCATCGCATGGACCGAGCAAGCAGTCCGTTCCAAGCAAGTCTGGGCGAGGTGGTCTCCCAAGTCACGAGGCTGGGAAAAGGGTTGGATGCCATCAGGACCTGCCGCTGAGGGCAGGGGCATTAGAAAGGGCAGGGTAGGGACGAGCGGGTTCAGAGAGTACAAACGTAGGCAGCAACCTACTTTGCCCAACCTCAGGAGGGGACTGGTGGAAAGGAAAAGATTTTATTTGGAAGGGAAAGGGACAAGGGCTGGGGATGCTGCTAAGTGGATGGATCAGATTAGTTAAGATGAATGAGGCAGGTTGGGGGAATCTGCTGTTATTTCTTATCTATGGGTTGTCATTTATTGTGAGCCACTCCGAGCCTCTTGGGATAGAGTGGGAGATAAATCTGGATGACGATGATGATGATGATGAACCCTTGGAGGGCACTGGAGTAAACAGCTAGTTCAAATAATGGGATAAGAAGCCATAGTCCGCTCAAGGCTGGGGTCAGGGGACTGAGTGGCTTTGGTCACCCCTGGAGCATGTCATACGGGCTGGCGTCCCGACAACATTGGACATGGCAGTCCCTGTCCTAGCGCTCCAAATACTAGACCAGCGACTCTCCACCAGGTTGCTGCGTCACCCTGGGGTGCCTCGAGATCCTTTAAAGGGTGTCGTGGAGGTCCCAGGCCATGTTAGCGCTGTCTGGTGTGCAGACGAGAAACCCAGAGATGTCGAATAGGAAGCCGTAGCACCAAAGCTATTCTGCCCTGCTTTCTGAGCACTTTGCAGCAGAAGGATTGCTCTCGTATTTTTCTGCGATCAAAAATGGAGGAAAAACAAAGAGCTGGCATTTTCTGAGGGGTGCCTCGGGCCTGACAAGGTTGAGAACCGCTGTACTAGACGCTGGGGCGGGTGGCGTGTGAAGTGCATGGGGGATGGAAGGAGAGCAGGGAGGGGGACCGGGTGGTCCGTCCAGCCGTGGGTGCTGTGCGGTCAGGGCGATGGTAACGGCGAGACCCAGCCTGTCCAGATGTCTGGCTTGTCACGCCTGGCGCAGCAGATGTCGGGGAGGGCTTGTGGCTCAGAGCTGCCTGTCCTGGGTTCATTTGCAAGGCATCCTGTGCCACAACCGGGGCATTGCTGCCAGAGCTCGGGGGAATCGGGCTGAGGCTCTCTAGCAGCCGGGGAGGCAGCTCGGAGGTAAGGGAGCCATTTCTGCAGTTGGCTTCTGTTCTCGCAGCCCTGCCTTGCCCGCGTCTGCTCTGGCAGATGCGATTTCCTGCTGCTTCTGTGAAGTCAGGCTGGGAGGCGAGGCTGCTCTGATGAGCTGCCTGGATTCATCCCGGGAAGCAAACACGCTCCGATTGGCAGCTTCGGTTGGAGGATATTGTCTGCAGTGCCGACTTAAGCTGGGTCATCCTCCCGGCCGCCAGGCTTAGAGATGCTTCCCCACCTCCACGTGCTGCAGATGCCTTGGGGTATCGATCCACGTTCCCGGAGGTGATCTCCCAGCGGGATGGGCTGGACATAGTGTAGGGTAAAGTGCCGGGAAATGCCAGCGCTATGTGGCACGCGGCTCTTCATTGTAGGGCGGATGGAGCACGTCCCTCCGTCTGCCTGCAGGTGCCTTCCCCCGCCCTACCTGGTCCAGGTCAGGTATTTCCAAAGCCCGTATCCTTGCAGTGCCTGGGTGCTCTCTCCTGGACCTTGGGAGAAACGTGTAACAGAGAACTGTAGGCCAGATTGACTCTCTGAATCCGTTGAAGGGGAAATCACGTTTCCAGGCTAGAGCAATTGTATGAAGAACCTGTAAGATCCTAGGGACTTAAAAAGATGGACTAAAGATGCCTTTCCTCCCGGCTGTGGGTATCACTTACCTTGCCCATTGGATGGTGCTGTGTGAGCCATCCGTGCGGCTGTGGCTGGGGCATGTCCTCTCCTGGGACTCGCGAGACCGGAGTGGGGGCGTGGGGAGGAACAGTGAGGTTTTTAGCTAGCATGACTGCTGCTTTTGCCCTTGGCTCTGCCAAAAAAAACAAAAAACCAAAAAAAAAAAACCCATCTAGAGGAGAGCAAAGAAGCCCCAGGATCTTAAGGAAGGAGGTTTACCAGGCGCGTAGCAGATCTTTTGTAACAGTCCCGTTTCAGACCTCCCGGGTTATCATGTCTCTCTCCAGTTGGACTCCTTTGCTCTGAAAAACCAACCTGCATTAGTCTGTTTGCTACGCCTTCTCCTTTCAGGTGATTTTAATCTGCTGTCAGAAGTGCTGCGGCTGCCGACTGAGCCTGGCTGCCTGTAGACACCGATCCCAGGCCCGGGGTTTGAACGGGGGCATGTTCCCAGATGTGGCCGTAAACCTCAGAGAGCTGGCACTGCCACAGCTCCCTACCTGCACCCCCATGTAGTGTATATGATAGAGCTTTCTAGAGCATCATGCAACTGGCCATACTCCTGTATAACTAGGCTTTGGTCCCATCTATCTTGTTTTATTATTATTGTAAGCTGCCCTTTTCCAGGGGGAGGGAAGCATATATGTCTAATAAATACAAAAAATGCCATGTCTTGACAGATCTCCGATATCTACATCAGCGGGGAGTCGGGGGATATGTCTGCAAAAGAGAAGCTGCTTCTCTGGACGCAGAAGGTGACAGCTGGCTACATCGGAGTAAAATGCACCAACTTCTCTTCGTGCTGGAGCGATGGGAAGATGTTCAACGCTCTCATCCACAGATACAGGTACGTGGAGAGGAGCGGCGAGGGATGCCGTGAATGGCTGGGGGGAGCGTACCGCTGCTCGTGCTGTCTGCAGTTACCGTATTTTCTGACATACCACGTGCACCTCTTTCCCAAAAGCGAGTGGCTGGAAGTTAGAGTGCACATTGTAGGTGAGAAATGTGGTAAGAGAAGTTCCTGCTGCTTACTGGGCAAAAGCAAAAGTAAAATCTGCAGTGACCACAGAAAACAGAAGAGTGGACGTGATGTATGTGGATAATATGGTCATATTCTGCGCTTTGAAGTCCAAGTTCTCCCCTGCCAGGAGGTGTTGCTCTGCTGGCCCAGGGCCCCGCGTGGTGGAGAAGGCTGAGAACATGCAGCGTTGCAAGAAGCAGCAACTTGTTTAATGAGGGTTTGGGGCGGAGCGGGAACATTAAAACCAGATTGTGCTGTGCTTTAAATGCTACCACCCCCTCCTCTTTTCTCAGTGAATAATAGTGCTTAGCACTTCGGTGGCACCTATCACCTGGGGATCTTGGAGCTCTCTGAGCAGCAATTTAAGCCTCACACAACTCCATGCGAGACAGACAGGGAGAGACGCCCCTGGGGGGGGATTAGGACGGCTCTGGATAACAGTGGTCACCTGGGCTACTCTGTCTGGACTGGCTGGGCAGAAACCCTACAAGGAAAGAAGTCGGGCTTCTCAGGCCACGGCTCGCACCTCATGCAGAAGGAGTCCAAAGTCTCCTACTGAGATGTCCCCTAGGCGGTGGATGAGGAGATGACTGTGCACTAGGTTAGGAGTCCTGGGAGCTAACTGGGATGTCACCGCTTTTGAGTGTGAACGTGAAGATTTCCTGGTCCTTATTCTCACACGCGCGCCCTGTTCTGTTTGCACGCCCAGTTGCACTGGCAGTGCCACCCTGGTGGGGCACTGTGAAGGGGTCTGCCAATGCAGTGCCCTCCTGGTAGCCTGCTTTGGCATGGCTTGCCCTGCCTCGGTTTCCCTCTAGATCACCCTTCTCTCAGACTTGTCCTCAGTCTCTGCCAAGTGGGGTCTGAGAGGCAGCAGTGCTGGAAATGACCTGAAACAGTGTTCCCAAGAAAGTGTTCCCAAAAACAGTGTTCTGCCCATCCCAGATGACCCTTCTTCCCCAGTCTCTGGGGGACACTGGACATCGGTGCTCTCTGCTTGGGATGGGTCCTCTTCAGGGAGCTTTCCTCTCCCGTGGGCCTGTCCTTTGAGAGCCACAGGACATGACCTGCCTTCTGCAGTACCCTCCCAACTGAGATCTCCTGCCCCCTCGGGAAAAACACCTGCCTCCTCCCCTGCTGGACCCAGCAATTGAAGCCAACCACATGCTCTGTGGCAGATCAAGATCAACCAGGGGGTGGGAGAGCAACTAATCCATCCTGGGTCCAGCCCCCCTTCACCAGTGACAGGCACTGCTGGCACTCCCATTCAGGGTACCTGCAGCCAGGGGCTTCTCCGTTGCTTGGCCTCTGTGCCTGTGTGTCCATGCATGTGTTCAGCTGCACAGCAAGCCACGCGATGCCTCGGAGGGAGCCTGACGGGGGCTCTGTGTCTTTCAGGCCGGATCTGGTGGACATGGAGAGGGTGCAGATCCAGAGTAACCGGGAGAACCTGGAACAGGCCTTTGAGATTGCGGAGAGGCTGGGAGTCACCCGGCTGCTGGATGCTGAAGGTGAGAGGATGTGGCAGCTGGCTGAGCGTGGTTAGCCGAAATGACTTTCTGGTGTCTGCCCGGGGAGAGAATCTACCTTTCCCTTTGCCCCTCCCCGACTGCTTCCATGTCTTCGTTCCCTTTCACCAGATGTGGACGTCCCGTCGCCCGATGAGAAGTCTGTGATCACTTATGTGTCTTCAATCTATGATGCCTTTCCCAAGGTCCCTGAAGGCGGAGAAGGGATCAGCGCTATCGTAAGAGCCTCTGCTTTTCACACCTGCCGACCCCATGTTTTTTGTGGGGCTTGTCTGAGCGTCCCCATGCAGCTGCTGGGAATACAGGCAGTTGGTCTTACCCTGCAGGCAGAGAGTTTGGAGGCTTCCCCTGCTGTCTGCATGAGAGGGCTGCACAGATGAAATAGCCTGGAATAGTCATGCAAGAGAGACTGGGGAGGGGTGTTGGGACATAGCACAGGAGTAACCTGGAGGCAGGAGCTCACAGGAAGGTCCTGTCCTGTCCTTTCTGCCCCTTTGATGCTGCCTCCCAAGAACAGGCCCCTTTTGCATTTGACCCTTGGAAGACGCAGCCATTGCGAGTCACAAGTGTCCAGTACTTAGGGCATCTGTGCTTACCTTAGTTCTCCAGTAACATAGGAGGCTTGGAAGAGATGGGCTGCCTTGTTGTATTGCTGTTTCCCCGCTGAACCCTTTACATGGCTGTCCCTCTTCCTCCCAGGAAGTGGATTCCAGGTGGCTGGAGTACCAGAACCGTGTGGATTCCCTCCTCTCGTGGATCAAACAGCACACGATATTGATGTCCGACAAGTCCTTCCCCCAGAACCCTGTAGAATTAAAGGCAAGTGCTGACTGAGGTTCCTCTGGAGCACACGAGCTCTGGGGAGACGCTGGTGGGAGAAAGGTGGTCTGGCGGGCAGGAGGCTGATGTGGCTTTGTGTCCCCTTGCAGGCACTTTATAACCAGTACATACACTTCAAAGAAACGGAGATCCCGGCAAAAGAACAAGAGAAAGGGCAGATAGAGGAGTTGTATAAGCTACTTGAGGTAAGAGCCTCTTTAGCAGTGTGAGTAGCTGGCAGTATTATGCTTCTTGCAAGGCGTGCCGTGCATTCAGTGTGGGGTTAAAGAAGTAACCCTGAGCACAATGCAAGCAGTACGGGACCCACGGGGACTGAGATATCCAACGGCTTCCCTCCTGGCTGTAGTGTCTGAACACATCCCAGTCGTTAAACTCCTTCCCAGTGCAGTACAGAGAAGGTGATGTGAGGATAGAGGTGTGGATGGAAACATCCCAGTCCCAGGTGGGGTTGGGGGAGCCTTATCCACCTAAGGGGTAGGAGGGCCTGTCACAGGAGGGGGAATGGAAAAGCGTGGCTATGATCACAGAGAGAAGAAGGGATGAAAGACTGTTCTCTTGCCGTGCTTCAAGGTGTGGATTGAATTTGGCCGCATCAAGTTGCCCCAGGGCTACCACCCCAATGACGTGGAGGAAGAGTGGGGCAAGCTGATCATAGAGATGCTGGAGCGTGAGAAGTCTCTGCGGCCAGCATTGGAGAGGTTGGTTCTGAACCGGGGTGGGGCCCGTGGAGCTCACCGCACCCTGCGTGGGAAGTCGCCCTGTCTCTCTCTCCATCCCCTTCCCCCCACCCCAGCCCCAAGAGAGCGCTTTTCTCTGATTCCCCCTGTCTCTCGTCACAGGCTGGAATTGCTGCTACAAATCGCTAACAAGATTCAGAACGGTGCTCTGAGCTGTGAAGAAAAGCTCACCCTGGCAAAGAACACGCTGCAAGCTGTGAGTGTCAGCACTTCTGTCCTGATTTCATGTTGTGCCTTGTGTCTGTTTTCCCTTTCCTAGGGACCTGCCTTCCTCCTCAGCTTTCCTTTGTGCCGCTGAGCTTGGGGTCAGGCTGCTGGATACCCAAGGGAGTGGGAGCTCCCAGGAGGATACTTGAGCTAAGAGGACAAATATAGCCCTTGGCTGTGTGATCAGGGAGCTGATGTAACCTCTCGGTATAGCAAAAGAAAGACCATTGCTGGATAACCAGTGCCTAGTTCTTCCCGGCTTCCAAAAAGATGTTGACAGATTGGCAAAAGGTCAGATAATTGCTACTGCGGTCTGGAAAACCTGCCGCCTAGTGAGTTTTGCAAAACTCAGCCTGTTTAGTTTGTCCAAGAGAACATTAAGGAGTAACCTGCATCCTTATGATCACTGAGGGCCCTGTAATGTGGCAGGGGGAGACAGTCCAGCCATTGGAAGCTCAAGCCAGGCATGTTCAGGTTAGAAATAAGAGGGACATTTTATAGTGAAGGTAATTCAGCCATTGCACCCACTTGCCCAGGGATGGGTGGGTTCTGCAATGTCCAGAGTTCTTAAGCGGTGACTGGACATTGTTCAGCGAGACATATTACGGGCTTTAGCACACGTTAATACCTGAGGCTCCTTGGAGATGTGGCGGGCTGTGTATCATGCTCATGACTGTCCTCTCTGGCTTCACAGTCTGCAAACTGTGGATGCTGAGCCAGGATAGAGGACCTCTGGCCTTGTGAGGTCTGGTGCAGCGGGCATGAGGAGCACCAGTAATACCTCTTGTATCTCCCACTGCAGGATGCCGCTCACCTGGAGTCCGGTCAGCCGGTGCAGTATGAGTCCGATGTCGTCATGTACCTACAGGAGTGTGAAGGGCTTATCCATCATCTGCAGGTGGACTTACAGATCCTGCGAGATGAGAATTACTACCAGCTGGAAGAACTGGTCTTCAGGTGAGTGGCTGAGAAAGTCCTGTGGGCATGGGCAGAGGGGTACAGTGGTGCTAGTCTGTAGATACCCAGCAAAAACTAGCAGGAAGGGTTCAGCACTAGTTGAGCGTGTGCTCTGCTTTTGATGTCCTCCCTAGCAGAAGGGTGACTGTTTGCCAACCCTCAACCCAGGGAGAAAAATAAGATCGTTTTAGAGAGCAGGCAGGGCATGTCTGGTGTCTCTCCCAGAATCCAGACATCTTTAATCAGTCTCCTCCCTGTCCCCTCCCTGCTTTGCTTCAGGATCATACGTCTGCAAGACGAGCTGGTCACCCTGCGGCTGGAATGTACTAACCTATACAGGAAGGGCCATTTCTCGTCACTGGATCTCGTGCAGCCCTCCACCCTGAGCATGACGCACTTGAAGGCAGAGTCCTTGACGAAGGGAACGCACACGTCTTCTGCCTCCTGGTTCCGGAAGCCCATGACCCGCACAGAGCTGGTAGCCATCTCCTCTTCTGAGGATGAAGGCAACCTCCGATTTGTATATGAGCTGCTGTCTTGGGTGGAAGAGATGCAGGTGAGTGTGCCCCCTGGATTACGGGGTGAGGATTAAGGAGCTCTGCAGACAGAATAAGCTGCATCCATTAGCACGGAAGACTTTGGTATTTTCTGCCTTTTTGTTTAAATTGAACATTCGGCTCAGCTCGAGCGTAGTGTCTATGCTTACCTGGCAAGGGAAACACCGTGACCACCGAGGCGGTCTTCCTAGTTGCACCTGGGGAAGACGGCTCTCCTGGCACAGTGGTAGTACCTGTGAAGGTAATGTATAGTAAACCTCCCACTTAGCTGCTGGAGTGGGAAGGTCTTGGTTTTACGCCCACTGTATGGAAAGGGGAGACTCCTCCCTAGCTTGCTTCTGCAGCCGTATGGCTGAGGACAAGCAAAAGGCAGGGGGGTCTGAACCCCAAGCCTCCGGGCTTGGGCCTGCAAGTAGGATGCCTGCCAAAGGATTTGGAAACATCTGAGGCCCCAGATGGGGGTGGAGGATGTTTGCCGGTAGTAGGACCACTTATAGTTCTGGACTGATTCATGGATTTGGAATTGATTTGGCTAATTTGGCTTGGAATACGGAAAATTAAAAAAAAAAAAAAAAGCAAATAATTGCAGTCACCTGGCAGGCAGCGGTGCAGACACTAGTGGTTTTTAGCACTTCCACAAGCCTGGAGATGGGGTTTACATGCTGTCTTTTAACAGGCTGTACACAGGGAATGGGGAAGGTACTCTTCAAAGAAGGGCACGAGGTGGATTCAACCTAAAAAGCTCTCTTGAATGGCTTGGGCTTGTGGCTTGGGAATTGTCTGTTGCTGAAATCAGTGAGAGTTGGGTGCTTGACCTCAGGGATGTTAGGATCAGCCCCTTAAAGAGCGTTGTGCCTTGGTAGCGAGCTGGGAGGTAATACCACCCCCAGTCTCACGTGCTTTTGAGCCTGAGGAAGGCTGGCTGGACTTATTGGTGGCTGTTTCAGATGAGGCTGGAGCGAGAAGAGTGGGGGAGCGATCTGCCCAGCGTGGAATCTCAGCTGGAGACCCAGCGGCACGTCCACACCAGTGTGGAGGACCTGGGCTCCAGCGTGAAGGAGGCTCGGCTGTACGAGGTGAGGTGACAGGCTGGAGGAGGGTGTAGCTACACTGGCAAGAGCTCGCACGGGTGAGGACAAGGGGCAGGAAGGTGGGTCCTGCCAGTGTTTTGTGGCTCAGAGGATGTGCATGCTTGGGTTTGAAGCAGCGAGGCATCTTTGCTGCTGTCAGGTGACCTGGTCACACACACTGTCTCTCTGAGGGCACACAGCTGGGCTCAGTGGACACCCCCCAGAATGAACATACTTGAATTTATCCCTCCAAACTTACTCTGTGGAACGTGGGTAGGGCTTAAACCCAAGTGCTGAGGCTGCTCATTGGATCTGGCCTCCGCTGCTGTTTGTCTTCCAGCTGTTTTCTTGCAAATCAGTCTTTATTTTCCCTTGGATAAGTTCCTCCCCT